CTGTTAATCATTGTTGAGTTACCGCACGTTTTTCTAAACATTTTCCAAGTTATTAAGCAAGAAACTTTATTTTATACCGGAAAGGAATTTTAACGTCTTCCCTTATTAATTCGATTACACAGGATTGCAATTTTTATGCGAAAAATGTTGTTATCCTGTATTATCTATAAGTATATACTAGTACCGAAAAAATTGAGCTGATAGGATAAATTATCCGATGATGATTTTAGACCATTTTTAAAATATAATCATTCTACGGTACCTTAGCTATTATCGTCATTTCGAATGTTGCTATGATAGAATATGATTTTATATTTCTGATAAGAATAAGCTTTACAAATAGGAAAAGAATCAACTTGAACCTACATATTTGGAATAAGCAAATTATAAGATTTATGTTGCAACAGGTAGTTTGTTCCTTTCGCATCTGTAAATCGGTCGTATTCTTGTTGTTATTTGTTTTGTTGTGTTCTATTATTTGTTTCTTGTATTCTTGTTTTTATAATGCTGATTTAGTAGAAATTCAATATGATTATAATGATTTAGAACAGATATATCGGCTTAAATTATCTTCTTCTAGGTCGGTAAATTGGAAAGAAATTAGTAAGATATTTATGCAATTAATTAATATAACTTTTCTTTCTTTGTCATAAGTATCGTGTCGATTTTGTTAGTACATAGAATCTCAATTCATGGTTTGTTTTTAATTGTTTGTTAGCATTTCAAACTGCATGTAACACCTACTTTTAAAAACATTTATTAGTATTTTATAGCAAGTATGTTTACCAGTAGATTTGATGTGATATTTATAATTCTTATCAAGTATAAGTTCTATATTTTTAAGTTATCGAAACAACAATTTTATTATTTTTACTGTATATAAAGCTAGCTTATCGTTTATCGTAACAAACGGTTTTTCTTTATATTTCTTGAATTCAAATTCAAATTCAAATTGAAGGCTGTAATATTGTAACCTTGTGTCTGGATGTTGAATTTAACCATGGTTATAATTGTTTCCTTATTATGTAACCTTCGTAATTGTACTGGCAATTATAACCTTTTTCTTTTACAATCCTTGGTCATACGCTTGGTAACAATACAATGATAGAAGAATATTAATTCTAGTCTCCGAAGATTCAGAAGAAATTCATCACGATCGCGTATTTCTTTATCCTCATCATTGACCTCTAATTCCATGAATCAAAGCGGTAACTTGTTTTTCTATGCTTACTTATAGTATTACGTACTAATATGTTATTTGATATTCAAGTTTTCCGAATTCGTAACAATCCTATGAATACTTGTTCACGGATACATCGATTTTAGCGCACTTTGTAGCTTTTACCTTCAATTAATTAATATATCGTAAAAGTTGTCATGCTATAAATCTTGAAAGTTTTAACTAGAATTTTTACACGATTATTATTTATTTTTACGCGTAATTTTTATTTATTGTTCCATTTAAAATAGTGATTCCAGTAGAAGATCTAAAATTAACCATTATTTTGCATAGTATAATCGTTCCTACTTCTTGAAATTCTGTTTTATAGATTTCTCATTTATATCATACATGTAGTTATCAGAAAGAAAGTTTATTTAATCATATAAACTTATTTACGAAGAACAAACATTCGATTCGAATATGTGCACGAATAAGTAGATGTAAATGTACACTTTGTACGCGCATATACGTGTTGTCTATATGACAGTTTATGTAAGGCCTCTTCGTCTAGAAATCGTTTAAAAAATTACATTTAACTCTATTAGCTGAACTTAAATGTGTATAGTTCTGCCTGACCACATCGAGTAGATGTAAGTAAAGTCGTGAAATCTGTATTGATCTATTTATATATAGATTTGAGCAAAAAGTAGCATGATAAATGAATAATTTTGATACCTTGCTTTGAGTAGCAACGGAAACGTCGAGTTTGGTGTCATACTACTGAAAATGCTGATTGATCATTTTTCAATTGATTGCAATAAGTTATCATAATAACGATCAAGCAATCGTAATTATTTAAATATGTATAATTATAATCGAACGTAATGAACGAGGCGTAACGGTTTAACTTCATTTCTATTAATGAAATGAGAAAAATAGAAACTTAATGCAATATTTACAATTTCACATTTCGTTAGAAACGAGTACGATCGATATAAGTGGTAGGAAAATATCTACGGTCATATATCAAAGATCTTACATGTTTCGTTTCTGTTATGAACTGGGCAAATCCAAGAATGCTTCCACAGTCTATAAATTATTTGGGACGCGAAATCTAATGTAAAGTCAGTTGGTGGGGATATAAAGAAAGCTACCATTTCTTTGTGCGGGAGAGGTTTATTGCTGCGACAAACTGCAGGGGAATGTAAAACAAGTCGCGATAGTTGCGAAAATAAGAGAAAATGAGAAAAACATGTAGCTACGCTTAAACTTTTACAAAAAGTGATAAGTCGTAACTTATTTTCTATACAGAGGCACGCGAATAGTACGAAAAAGAAAAGAAAAATTGTAAATATGTGTATATAGAAGAAATAAAATATCGGTAAAGGATTATGTGACTTGAAACGACAAAAAATAGAAAAATGGAAATGGAAATGGAAAAAGGAAATATGTAATTTATAAATGCACTACATAGTGGAAAGGTATAAAGCGAAAATTCGGAAAGGGTGGTTGCGATCGTTAGAAGCATCCGGGCGTTACAGGAAGCATGTTATACAGAATGTCCCTGAAAGTTATGCATAAGCGGATACCGCGTGATTCTTCGTAAAATAATATAAAAAAATTATACGTAACCTTTTTTTATTCGAGGCTTAGTTTTCGAGAAAGTCAAGTTTAAAAAATTCTTTTTTTACATTTGTGATTAATCGTAAGATATAACTCGTGAAACAGCGTATACGCTTATCGCGTTTGTAACAGATGTCTATAAACCATTTTCAAGTCACTGGATTGAAAAAAGAACATTAAAGCGTATTTTGCAAAGAATATTCGATTATATCAGATTCGAAATTTTTGAAACTGTCATTCCTTTGTTCTATACAAATTGTGACACAAAATGTAACTAATTACGTACATACGTGTGTACACTGGGTATACTGTATTGTAACTCTAGATCGTCAAATATATGTATCGTTTATATATCGTTTCAAATGCTCCAAACTTTATAACTGATTCAACAAAATATGCGCCTTGTATGACAAAGTTATACGCACTTATTCTTATTCTTTATACGTTTATAATAAACCTTGTATTTTCCCCGTTGAGAAGTACATATGTGCGTATGTATCCGTTATTTATTATCAAAAATTTCCCACATTTTCAAATCAAAATTATTTTGTAAAGAAATATATATGGATATAAGATAATTTGGATATAAGTAAATTTGATAGAAAATTTGTTTGTCAGGCGGTTAGCAAAACATGGTATAGAATGTTTATGGAATTCATAGAGGTATAGATTATTCATGGACAAGAATACAAAAAGAATGATACGATGTAGAATCAGAAATTATTCATAATTTAGTATCGATCATGTTGCACGGATTGAACGCAATAAGCAAAAGATAAAGGAAGATAAATAAAATATTATCTTACAATTTGAATTTCAAAAATTATATATGAGTGCAAAATGGGGAACATTGTATCACGGGTATATTTGTTCGAAAATAATTTGTTAGTTCAAAAATTGCTAGTACAAAAGAAAATTTGACTTCTAATTGTAGCTACCTAATTCTCAGCAATAAGTTGAAAAATTTTCCACGTTTCATTAATGTTGAACATTAATGCAGGAATAATTAATGTTTTTCAGATAAAATTACCGTTGCGTGTCCAAACTTTTTATTCCTATATTTTTGGTACAAAGCTATGTGAACTTCGATATATGAGAAATTTCTTCTACTAGCAACATATCGCAATTATTTAAAGTGTTCGTTGAGAACACCCGATATTCGAAATGTTAAAAAATTATACTAATAACTATTTGTATTCTAATATCGAAAATTAAAATTCTATTTATTAATATCGTTTAATTAGTTCATGTAGCATTAATACATATTTGCAAATATAAATTGTAATAAATTTGCATTAATAATTTCACGCTATATAATCCAATAAATTTACACTACGTAAATTTTGCACTAAAAATTAATAAATACGTTGTTTACATAATTGAATTCTTTTTGTACAGTAAGCAATTTTTCGTTGAAATTCTTTTTTATATTTAATAGCTTTTGAGATCATTATAAAACAGACTTTTCATTAATCGTTAACTTGGAAAATTGTATTTATATTTTCGACATGAATTTCGACACGTATTAAATGAAGATTGTTTAAAATGTTCTTTCAAAATTGACATCGTGTAGAAATTTCATCGAAATTTGGTTTACACGATTTAGAGTCTAGCCCGTATTAAACAGATAAACCTTCGCTTGAATTTATTGGCTAACTAGAAATTACGTTTCTAAATTCCAATTTCGTGCGTTAATTATACAACACGTATGTTCGTTATATGTAGTTATATCATAGCAAGTACAACTTGATTCATATGATTCATATTCATATGATAATCATTAATGTGGCAATATAATACGAATTTAACAGATTCATCGAGCAAGTAGAAATTTGTGTTAGATAGTAGTCAACAAAATCGTATAAAATATTACACTATGATATCAATGCAATTTTATAAGTGAATTAATTAAGCAATTAAAAAGGACTTGTCAGGTATCGAGAGTAAAGAATATTTTTACGTTACAAAACGTGTAACGATAAAACTTATTTCGTACTCTAACAAATTATGTGTGTTTATTTTAAATCAAAACTGTATATTAAATTTTGTTACTAAACAATGTTAACAAAATTTATGATAAATAACTTCACGCGTTTAATTCGTCTTCGTATCATGATGCTACTTTAAATCGTAATATAAATATTCTGAATGCAATACCTTAAACTAATTGGCTAAAATAGTCTAAAACATAAAAGATAAATATGAGATACTTTACCAACAGGTACATCATAAGGTTGAATAAAAGATAGAAATTTCCGTAAAAAGTCGAAAATAAATATTCCCCTCTCGAGATGTAAATTTGCCATTTTATACTGTTTCTCTGAATCGATGGTAGGGAATTTAAGTTTCTGATTGAAATCGTTCCAATTTGTAGATTCCATAGATGTCTTTAAATGTGAAATATTTGTGTCATTTCTGGTTCCATCAATTAGAACTTGGGCTATCACTTCACTCTCGTCGTGTTGTGCTTCGCTTGGTGCACGAAAAATGACCAAACTGTCGGCGATGGAACGATTGTTGCTATTGGAAAATGAATCCGTTTCGATAATGTCTTCAAAATGACCCAGAACTTCTGTCACTAAGAATAATATGAATATTTCTGAAAGATTGAAAAAGTTTATTCATTAATAATCAAGAAGCCTATATTAAGCAACCAAAATACCCAAAATTTCTTTTGGATTATATTTATAATGTATTCTTTTATTATATTATAAACTTTGCATCTTAAATCGTACGTATAAAATGTAAATAGTATTATCTAATTATTGCAGATCAATAAATTTATCGAAGACTTAAAATGTTAGAATGTGCCATGAGGGAAATAAATGATAAAAACAAGGATTAACTTTCCAAAAAATGAAAATAGAACACGAAATACATTTATTATAAATTTATTCTACACCGAAATAAGGTCACACGAAATATAATTTATTTTAAATTAATCAATATTTTTTTAATTACCTACTAACTTTTTCAGTTGTACTTGCATCGATTCATAAAATAATAAGATATTTCTCTATGATTACCGATTTCAAACATTTGAACGTCACCGTTCAATTACATGACAGCTGTTTCAATATTTTATCAATTAATAAAACTGTTGTTAAGTAAAGCGAAAAATCATTTGTGAGAAAAGTATCGTGTCAAATCCCACGAGTAATAGTATCAATTTTGTCATCACGTTATATATTTAACTCTGAAGTATATTTGGAAGGTTCATACCTTTTCATACTAGTAAGTAAGAAACATATAAGATACAAAATTCTGCTTACCTCTCGGTAGAACCATTTTTTTTCACAATAATAATATTAAACTTGCGGAATACTTTTCTGATAAAGTAAGCGATATAAAGCGGAAACGGTAGGACAACCCTGTTGAATCGTGGCTATATGTGAACTGACACTCGAAAGATTTGCGAAGGCTTCTCTGAAACCCTGTAAGTGCAGATGTTGTTGAACCCTGATAGAAGAGAAATAAAAACATGCACATATATAACATTTAAAACGATAATATCGTAAGCGTATTAAAATAAATGGTATCTTACAATTTTGGTAATTAACCTACTTAACTAATTTGAACTAATTTTGGAATTACGATTATATTTTTGAAATAAATACTATTATATTAACGCTGTTAATTTTATTTAACCTTTATAATTAAAAAAAGTTTTCTTCGGGAGCAACGAAATTTCTGTTATTTCAGATGTGTATAACTATTCCAATTATAAGATACTACTGTTCTAATGTTTTCATTTCAATACCGGTATAAGGTATTGATCATTTAATTTGATTTAGTTTAATCAGTGAAAGAAGATCTACGTTACAGCCAGTAAATAACCAAATGAAAGTTATAATATCTTCTAAACTAACTCTCACTTTCACGTAGTTTGAGATCTGAAGTTGTACAAATGAAATGATATATCGAACTTGAATGCACAATATAGTGCCGAAAGTAGCGAAAAAATTAAAGATAAAGTAATCATAGTAGAGAGAAAGTATAAAAATTATTTGAGCGTTGTTTAAATGTTCAAAAATTAAATGAGAAATGTAAAATAAATGTACAGTAGAATTCTAATTATCCGGTACTCGATTATCCGGAATGTTCGATTAATCGATACATTTCCACATCCGTCGCGGATATGTATCTCACATAAACAACATTTGCTGAGTATAATAATTTGCATATACTTCGAAATAAATTTTTTAAAGAAGTTATCGTGTAATACTCTTCCACCTTCTCTGTTGCACCGACATCCACTAACGGTAATGTTTAAGCAAGAGAAATATAATTACATATGTATCGATTAATACATTCTATATGTTCTATATGCATACATTCTATTTTATAGGTTATTTTTGTCAATAAATTGCATTAGCATATCATACAATGTTGTTTTTTAAATTATATTCTTTTTATCCCTTCATATGTAAGTATAAACCTAAACTTCATATAAGTATAAATCTGGCATTACCTCGGTTCCAGGTATTATACATATATATTATATACGTAATATAATTTATACACGGTACATATGTAGTATTAATCTTCACAGTCGATAGGTTCGGATCCAGGGTTCGAATTCTTTATGCGTCTTTGAACGTTTTTGTAATTTTACCCATGCATTTTCATTCTCTTTATATACTGCATTAGATGCAATATTATTTTGTAAGTCCAAACTTAATGTGTGTATTTTTTTAGTTTATAAGTTTATAATACTTCTTATAATAACTTTGGTAAAATTAAAAAGATTATTTACTATCATTTGTCAAAAATTTTGCACATTCGGCTATAAATAAGCTACATTTTTATACAGAACTGCACATTGCGCGAACGTTGATTTAAGTTATAATCGATGTGCCAAAATTATCAAATCCGTCTAATATCTAGTGAACGGAGAGGTTCAGTTACATATAGCCGTATCTGTAATGTATAGACATGTCTGGCTACTGATTTTGACATGAAATACACTTTTCTTTTCGCTTCCTATCTCTCCTTTATCACAACAGCTGTTCTATATGCTCTAATTTCGTAAACCTAGAGCACAGCTGGAGACAGTGGAAGCAGGAACTCGATAATATTCTTAGACAAGCGTAGGATTTCGGGATGTGTTAGGCCACCAAGTTTCATTAGGAGTTCTTACCGCGACCAATTTGTAATTTTTATTGCATATAATTATAATTGCGTATAATTTTTATTATTTGTAATTAAATTTTTTAAATTTTATTTCAAGATGTAATTTCCAGAATATTTAAATTGTGAACGATTTAAAACAAAATAATTGCAAAAAATAGAAGTATTTTAATTAAATCATTTCATGGTTTACACGCGTCGAGGAAATTGCTCATTACGGATTAATCGTATGGATATCATCGAACCATGCGGTAGACATATTTCTTAAATATCTCTTTTTTTGACGTGAATGTTCAACCAGTGGTCTGAGAAGCAGTCATTTGTGGCTATACGTCAAGATAAAACGAAATGTTTTCATTTTTAACATTATCCATTTTGAATCGGTAATTCAGTATAGAATAAGATTACGATATTGGTAATAATTGGAAATAAAATTAAATTAAATTATTTATGTTAGCAAAATAATTCTTATTTTATAAGGGAGAAGTATAGGCAAAGTACAATATAAATATATTATTGATTATTTATTTTATTCCATACCTACCGGTTTCTAGACTTTTTATCATTTTAGTAACATTTCTAATGTTATCGATTCAGCGAAAAATAAGCTCACAGCGTTAAAGTGGAAGGAATATAAACTAAAAGCCACGAAGTTGCGGATAAAATATAGATGATATTAAAATCGCAAATAAGAAACATACTTACATACTTATGTATGATTAAAATGAGGTTGGGCAAAGAAAGCAGTTAGTTAAACAGAGATACATATAAAACGAAAAGAAAAGAAAACAATTCTAAGCGACTCTCTTTACGACTTACCGAACTTCGCGCAATATTCCTCCCTCGAAAGGATTAGTCCTGGCTTTCCCTAATTGTCTGTAAAAACTAACCGTTTGAATTAATTAAAAACTAACACCGTTTTCCCGATGGGTCTGGCTTTCGACTTGTCCACTTATTCTCAATCGCTTTCTCTTTTACGTCCATTTTCCATTTAGAGTTCTTAAACCTACGATATAATGATATCGAATGATATATATGAAACTTTCATATGCAAAATATATGTATCTAAGTGGCTTTTCACGCAGTTGTACAGCGACACGCATTCGCGACGCTAAAACATCTCGAGCGTCTATTTATAAAAATCTAAAAGAAACTAATATTTTGGATTTAAAAGTATCGATCAATTATCACTACGAAAAGCTTTTTCAAATATGAAAGATGGAAAATTGACTTTTGGCCTGAAATATTCGCTTTCCAGGACACTGTAGACCATCCGCCTTCCGAGAGTTAATTCAATCTCCTAATCGGTCGCCAGGAAAACGCTCATTGAACTTATCGAGTCCTCGTTCCAGGCCACGTGAAAAAGTTTTGCAGTCGGCCAAAAATAAAGAAACTGCGTAAAGTGTATATATCTTTCAGCACGGATGCAAACTTTCACCGAGTAACTGCCTCATGGTTTATTATACCGTTTTCTATTGACGTACGTGTAGAAGCTTTAAGTAACCCGACCTTTTGGTCCACTGACTAGCATGGTTTACAGCAGTACTGCTGCAGTTTAAGCAAATATAATATGATGTCCCGCGGTTGTATCACTAACCAGAGGCTACACTCGATGTTGCTAAACTAAGTATATGCGCAGAATTTCGTATCAGTACTTCAAAAGCTAGCGAAGTTATAGCTGTTCAAACAATACGATATTTCGCGATATCGGTAAGATAACTGATACTGTTGTAATATCAAGAAGATTTGACTATTACGTTTTGAATAATCGATTAGAAGGATATTTGAAAAGGAATAGTAATCGTTGAATTAGGAAATCGTTGAAAAAGGAATCGTTGAATTAGTAAATTTACCATCTGGCATTGGAATTTTTATAGTCGTAGTTATCAGAATATTCAATAAATTGAAAGCTCTATTCAAGATAATAGAGAGAAATCACATAATTCATAGAGGTGTTGTAAATACAGTTTATAACAATGGCTGCTACATCGATCACCTGTGACCGAAATTTATCTTCTCTATGTAAGAAGACTATAGTAAATAACGTAATTTACTTCGTTAGTAAGGTAAAATGAATATTATCGACTAAATAATGTTGAACAAAATAGGCAGCCAGACAATATTATGAAATAAAAAAATTCACTATTCAACTATTAAAGATTTTAATGGAAACAGAATATATTACACATACTAAGTATACAGTACAGCATACTATAATGAAAATTTTATTGTTGAATATCGATTAACAAAGATTATAAAGAAAGTCAAAGTCGCTCTTAGAATACAAAACAAGTGAGCGGACATTTAGTTAACAGAAAAGGTAGTTCTTTCATAATACTAGGACAGATTAGTCCTAAATATATTTCTTATTTCTTATTCAACCCTATCTTCTCAGAATGATGTATTTGGAATTGGTTTATAGGATGTCTTAAAATATAATGGTGCGGGGAAATTCAAATTTTGCATATACCTGTAAAATATGTGCTACTATAATCTTACGTTTAAGTTAATGTCATAAGTTTCGCGAATTGTTTAACTCATACAAATACTCTAACTGCTTGAAAAAAATCTGTTGCGTCCCGAACACTGTAACTCTCGCGTTGGGAATTTCACGGGGTTGTAAGGCCTCTTTACGCGAATGCGACAATGCTGCTGGGATGCGGCCAGAGTTAGATCTGGTTAGGGTTGAACTAAAGAGTTCTGATGTGCGATTGTCTCTGGCGCTGAGTTGATAGTAGCTTCGACGTCTTTCGATGGTGGTGGATGTTTAAACAATTTGGGTCTTTATGCCTATAGTCTTAAGGGTGATTTATTGACCCTCGGTAAGGTTTATTCAAGTGACGGCCTGGTGACAAGTGTCCGCGATTCAAGGGACGCTGGCAATAAGGACATAAAACAGTCCCTCACCTAACTTGGGACGCGCGGTCCTAGAGCCGCAATAAAATCGATAATCCAATTTCAAATATTTTGATTTGATGTTTAGTCATCTGTAGATATTGACCTATGTGCATAAGAGAAACTCCAGACCGGCTAACTTTCCCTTTTTATCCCTTACTCATCCTTATTGCCCTATTGCTCACTCAAACTCCGACCTTCCCTGCATCATCCATTCTTAACCTTCGATCTGTGGACAACCCCCTCTTATTTCCTAATTCACA